TGCAACATGTTTGGTGGGCATTAAGAGCATCCCCTCCCCCAGGGCAGCCAGGCATTCAGGGCAAGGTGAGGTGAGCAATCCAGTTTGTAAACATCAGTAACAAAGTTGGTAAACCAATGTGCATTGTTGTATGACTAAGTATCAATATCTTATTTATTTTCCAGCCCTTTGCAACTTATGTTTTAAGCAAATGTTCAAGGTGGTTGGATATAAACATTTAGTTGCATCTCTAGCCCTTCAAAACCACAGTGCAAATCTCTGCTCTTCTAAGGCACTGACCTAAACCCAGACCGAGAGAGAGAGGGGGGGGGGGGATCAAATAAAATGCATCGGCTGCCATCCACTTGCAGGTTCGGCCTGCCTGTCTTTCCAGGAGGAGGAACCTTGTTGGGAGGGCAGCGGGGGAGGGGAGGGGAGGCCTTGCGTGAGAGCCATCATCTCCTCTCCATGGCCCCCCTGAACACTCCATCCGATTGTTAGTGCTTACTAGGGCAGACTCCCTGAAAGCAACAAGAGCTACATAAAAGTGACGGCTAACAAGTCTACCACTTCTGTGGGCCCCAGTCTAGTCAGGATTAAAACTGAATTTGGCCCTCTCCCCCTCATTTGGGGTGGGTGCAAATGAAGCCCATCTGGGTTGGCGGGGTGGGTAGTGGGTGGGGGTGAATTAATGAGTGCCCCAGACATTCTGGCTTCATTCCTCATCAGTCCAAACCAACTTTCTCATTGTGTTGGACCGGCTAGACTGTGCAGTGAACTTGTCAGCAAATTCTTCTATTCTCTTGTTTTGCATTTTGAAATAAAAGACAAGACAGTTGTGTAACTAGTTGTTTCTTTACTGAATTCCTCAGTTGTTGCAGAATTAGATCCCACTGGATCCTTTAACAGCAAGGATACAGGGATTTATGTATCAAAGGATGACAAATTTATTGGAACAAAAGCATAAAACAAGTAAATATTCTGTCACAATATAAAACTCCAGAGAGCCTCCAATGCCAGCACCAGGGGAAACGTGTCCACCTGCCTGAGGTTTGACCCCTTAACAGGAAGGGCAGTGGGAGGCCTCGGCCAGGAGACCCGCTCCCCGTTAGCGGGGG